CATTCTCCCACAGCAACATCACTAAAGAAACTCTCAAGTGATTTATGAGCTCCATAAGCATGCATACCTTCTACCAACTAGGAAGATGTGAGCTAATCCTTCTTGCATTAAGACTACAGCTAGATCAGCACTTGCAGCAGGATCTGAAGTTTTTAACAAGAAAAAGATTATAAATATATTAAGAGAAAAAGAGAGTCCAAAGGCATGAGGAAAACAAATCCTTGTAAAACAGAGAACAAACCACAGAATAAGAAAAAGAACATAAGAAGATAAAACCAAATGGCAAAAGTAAAGTTAGTGCAGAATAGCACCCCATTTCCTTCGTGACAATTTTAAAGAAATATCTTTAAAACAGGCATGTGCATTGGCACACAAAGAAGCTGGAAAAATCATTCTATTCCAAAGAGGCTGTGGAGGAAAATAGCGATCCTCGAAGATTTTATCATTGCACTCCAACCATAAAACCCATAAACCAAGAAAATTGGCACCTCTCGGAGGCATCTATATATCCTTTTTTCAGCCCACTCCCTTTTATAGATGAAATCATGTAACAAAGTAGCAAGTGGATACCAACATCAAGCAAGAGTATCAAGAAGCATTGTCCAAAGCTTCAAAGTCACTTCACACTGGAGGAAAAGGTGGTAATAGGATTCATCCCTCCTAAAACACACTACATATACATTCAGAGAGAAAGGGCAATTGGACCTGCAAACTTCCAACAAATCATTAGCATTGAGTCTGTTTAGAACAGTCATCCAGGCACAAACCTTTCAAAAATTAAGAAAATTTTAACCTTCCGAAAACTCCTAGTAAGAAATTAATTCTGACAGTTACAATTACTGGTGAGGTGCTGCAAAAGGAATTGTGTAGACCCCCACGACTATAGGACCCAGATTCTCCTGTCAACTTGGGCTGAAATGTCGCAAGGCTCAAGCTTGTGAATTAAACATATCATACAACGGCCTCCAATCATTGAGATTTGTAAAACAAAAAAGTGTATTTTCCAAGAGGTTTTGTGGATTATATGAAAAGGTTGGTGAATGGTGGAGAGGTTTTGTGGAAAACGGTAAGGCCAGCTTCAAAATAGCACAAAAGATCAAGGTGGTGAAGTTGCAATTAAGCAGCAGGGCAAAGAGAAGGAGCTGGGGGAGAATATATACACAAACTTTGTTTAAGTAGGCACCCCCACTTCACCATTTTCTCATCACTTCCATTCCATTCTTCCATCCGCTAAAGAATTTTAGAGAGAGACGGAGTGATTTAGAGAAAGGAGAGGAGAAGATGAAGAAAAAGCATAGAAAACATTAAGATTTCGGTAAGAAATTTAATATTTACTTGTAAACATCCTAAGAGTATTTCTACATTAATTAACGAAGTTTAAATTAAGTGATAGCATGCTTACTCTTGTATGTTTAAATAAAATAATTTACGTGCTAATGCATGTTATATGAATATACGTAAATCGATTATTGGCATGTTAATGATCAAATGCTTGAGATAAATATTAAGGCGTGATATATTGCAGGATGGTAAAATGATAAAGCATGAAGAGATGTTTAAGCATAAGAAATATATATTGGTATCAGCATGCATGATTCATAAAATGTCTCGTTAGACTTTTTATTTCTGAGAGATTTTTATTTCTCCCCATCTGGTCTGAAAAGATGTGAGAGAACCGTTTTCCTGTGGATGATAGTGTACTCTCTAACGAGAGTGATGACGCAATATGATTGTAAGGGTCACATTTGGCGAAGTACAGTCGTGGCAATAGTTAACATGAAGGACCTTTGTGGTTGGCACGACTGTAGTCATAAATCATGTCATGATTTGGCAAGTCATAAATGTACTATTGGTTTGGCAAGTCGTAAATATCTGATATAATATGAAATGAATTGGTCATTCCACATGAATAGTTGAAAATCCGTATGGCTCTCAGTAAATGGAAGTCGAAACAACTTTGCGCGAAGAGTAAAATGAAAAATAGTACATATCATAATTTGTTTGATTTTTTCTATTTTCAGCATGATTGATTTGATTAACATGATATAACCTTGATTTGATATTTTCTTATTAAATTAAATCGTTTTCACAATTAATAAAGAATCATCTACTAATGATTGGGTTAGAAAGGAACGTTTGAAATTTGAATTAGCAAACAAATTACAAATGAGGAGATATTGTGGAAAGAAAAATCAAGAGCCAAGTACATAAAGGAGGGAGACATAAATATCAAATTCTTCCATAGCATGGCTAATCATTATAGGAGGACCAACTACGTGGAGAAAATGGATATCAAGGACAAGATGGTGAAGGGTGAGAGTCTGAGGTAAGGGTTAAAGATTTCTTTTATAGCTTGTATCATGAGGAATTTAATTGCATATCTAAGCTAGATGGTCTCAATTTTACCTCCCTAGATGAGATGAGTCGTGTTTCATTAGAAAGAGAATACACCCCTGGATTTGAAGACTTTAACATGGGTTTTTACAGAAATTTCAGAATATAATGAAAGTGAATATCTTAGAGCTCTTTAAAGAACTACATAATACAAGGACTTTTATGAAATCATTACACTCCATTTTCTAGGTGTCAATCCCTAAGGTGGAGGCGGCGACTAACATCAAGGACTTCTGGCCTATTAGCTTAGTTGGAAACGTGTACAAGCTTATTGAGAAGGTGTTATCTAAACATATGGTAAAAATTATGGGTAAAGTAGTAGGGGAATTTCAGCATACTTTTTTGGAATGAAGGCAAATCATGTGTAAAATTATGGTAGCTAATGAGATTGTAGATGATCTACTATTTCGTGATAGAGATGGGGTCCTCTGCAAACTTTATACAAAGGAAGCCTATGATCACATTAACTAGAGATTTATTGATTATATGCTAGACAGAATGGGCTTCGGAGATAAAGAGCATAAATGGACCAATTTCTGCATCATCACATCATCTTTTACAGTCATAATGAATGGGGGTTCATCTTCTTATTTAAGGCATCTAGAAGTTTTAGACAAGAAGACTCATTATCTCCACTATTATTTATTTTCTCCACTACTATTTATTATGGCTATAAAAATTTTGAACAAATTGCTGCTGAGAGTTAAGGGGTGGGTTTGTTCAAAGGAACCAGTGGGAGAAGGAGAGTTAACTGAAGAGGTAACCCATTATAATTCGCATATGACACCTTAGTGTACTAAATGTCTCTTTCAACAATTCCGGTAAGTGTAACGAAAAAATTGGAAGCAATTCAATGTAGATTTCTTTAGGGTGATTCTACGGAGAGAAAGAAATATCATTTGGTGGCATGAAAAGTGTTAAAAGACTTTTGCATTAGAGCAGTTTAGATTTGAAATCTATAGTAGAAATGAATCATATGCTTCAAGGCAAGTAGATTTGATGGTTTATGAAACAAAATGGAATTCTTTGGTGGATGCTTATTGAGGCAAAGTTTGGTACAACGGATAAGAGCTCGTATTCCAGAGCGATAATAAGACTGTATGGGATAGGGGTATGGAAAACAATATGTATAGAAATGAATAATTTTCATAATTGTAACAGGTGGAAAGTTGGTAATAGGGAGAGAATCAACTTTCAAACGAGCCCTTGGCCTGGAAAGGGAGCTCTTAGAGATTTCGACAAATCTTTGCTATTGCATGATATAAGGATATTTCAATCAAGTATTCATATTGAGACTTCGAGGGTAGAAGGGAGTGGAATGTGGAGGTATTGAGAAATCTTAACGGTTGGGAAATAAATGAATATGAATCTCTCTTGAGCTAACTGTCTTCTATATATTTGAACGAGAGTTATAATTAACTAGTTTGGATGTTCAATCCAATAGGGATATTCATGGTTGTGTCTTTCTATAATTATTTGGCCAAGGATATATTGGAAAACAAGTTTCCTTTCCAACAAATCTGAAAAGTGAATGATCCTCCCATAATTGCTTTCTTCACTTGGGAAGTAGGGCATGAATGTATTCTTATCATTGACAAGTTGATGAGAAGGGGAAAGATCATGATGAACGATTGTTTTTTATGCAAGAGAGTGAACAAGACTTGTGACCGTATTTTACTTTGATGCCCCCTCGCATATAACTAATGGATTATGGCATATGAGTTGCTAGGGACTAGCTAGGTAACGCTAGTTAATATAAGGGATGAGATATGAGCATGGAAGAGTATTAATGGTCGAAGAAAACGTTTGGGTCTCATTCGCCTTGCAGTTAACCTATTGGGTGGTGTGGAAGAAAGAAACAGAAAATCTTTTGAAGGGATGGAAGAGCATTTCGATAGAGTATTAGATGGTCTCAAACCCTGGTGTAATTTGATTATCAATCACTCTTTGTATTCTACGGAGGATTTAGCATACCTTATTGGTATCATGTTTGATATTTAAATACATTTATACATGGGACGACATCCCCTTGGTGTTTGTAATTATAAATACATATCAAACTTTTTATTTAAAAAAAAAAGAATTAGACTTTTTATTTCCCCTTGCAATTTTTTTGGTGGTGTAAAAAGAAAAAAATAAAAGAGCTTTTGAAGGGATAAAAGAGAATTTCGATAGAGTTAGAGTTAAATGGTTTTAAATCCTAGGTTTTTTACTATGGTGATCAAAACTTATTGATATCCTGATTGATATAAAAATATTTTGTATATGGGTTGGCACCCTCTTGGTGCTTGTAGTTATTAATACATATTGTACTTTTTTATTTCAAAAAAATTATATAAATTATTTTCCATTAATCAAATGACCTCTTTCACCTTTCTACCAATCAACAACATCAATTTCACCAACAACCATGGTTCAAAATCCAAGGACCATAAAAGTAGACACGGCCTTTTCCATCATAAGACAAACATACAAATGGAAAAGGACTTATAACTTTTGTGTAAAAACCAATGCACCAAAGCCTTGAAATAGGAATTTCACCAAGAAGATGAAATATTAAGCAAGGAAATAACTTCGTTAGTATATTAGTATAGTTAACGACCTATAGATATAAACTTTATTTTTTTAATAAAAAAGTACAAACTTTTTTCAATAAACAAATACGATTTTTATTAGCGATCTGTTTGCAGCTTTAAACCTAAGAAATTCAACAACACATACCAGAAGCCTGTTTGAGTACATCTAGCGCCAATGAGTCCCAGACATCCTACAGTATTGAATAGACAACATGCCATTGTCAGCAAAAGAGAATGGTTCGGGAATTGCAATTCTGAAGTGTAAATAGAGCAAACAGCGTAACAATTGGCAATATTTTGCCAAACATCAGCAATAAGCAATACCAAAAAAATACAAGACGAAAAAAACAATGCAAGTCTGTTACAGCTAAAAAGGACCACTTCACTGGTCTAGTATATTAGAAAGGACCCAGGACCCAGGGAAGACACAGTTTCAGATGCTCCACTGGTTCTACAAAAAGATACAGAATCTCCTCTCTGTGGTATCCCCAAGAAGCAAAAAGCAGAAAATTGATATCTAACAAACCTAATATTTCTCTCCAACCAAATAAACTACAAAAAGAAACCCACACTAGAAAGATTTAACTCCTTCCTCCTACTGATACCACAAAGTGGAGAAGAAATGAAAGCCTCAACATGAGAAAAGGAGACCCAAGAAACTCCAGAAGTGTCAAATAAACATGTTCAAAGACTGCAAGACATAACAAAGTGGCTGCAAAATTCAGCTGCTTTGTAACACATCAAATCCAACAAGCATCAGGCTAAAGGATGATTAGGTTGAACTATAAGCAAACTGTAATTATTCAGCAGATTCAAAACTACAATACAAAAAAGTTACCTTTCGAGGGAGTTGGAACCTCTCAAAAAAGCTCAGTGAAAACATCATTGCAAATAGAGGGATTACATAATAAGTAGGAAAAGAAAGATTTGCAGATGAATTTGCTACATAATTGCAGAGACCAACTCTACGATCAAAGTCGAAAGAGAACACAACACAATCAAGGAGGTGAATCATAAAAACCATGTCTTCACGATCATTGATATTTCTTACAAAACATATCTCATAAGAAATGATCAGCAAAATAATCCCATAAGAAATGATCAGCAAAATAATCCCAAAAAGAACAAATAGGAAAATTATGGCATTGGGATGGATTGTGCAGATGAGGAAATTGAGTGTCCAACAGCATCAATTTAGGATCTTCCCAAGAAAAGAGAACAAGAATCATCACCCACCCGCAAACTTAGGCGTTGGAAAGAGCCCTATATGCTTGAGATAACTATCTAGGGGCTCCTTTAAGCAGAAGAAGCATTGGTTCTGAAGGCCCAACCCTTCTGATGTAGGTCAAACTTACCTTTAATCTACCTATATGCCATAAAAAGTTGGGCTCCAAAAAGAAAACACCATAACCATTTTGCCAAAGCATTATATATTTTATAATAAAGGTTCCTAGTGCCTAGACCACCATCTATCTTAGACATGGAACAAAACTTTTGATACAGGACAAAGAGAGCTTGAAGACAAATTTGGAGGAATTTTATTAAGAACCAAAACTACGAGATCTCGAATCTCAATAATCAAAGTAAGATATCAATATTTGAATAATAACAAGAAGTAGTCTACTTAATAATTAAGCTTGGGTACCTCACTTGTAGGCATCAAAATATAACAAAAATAGAACAGCTAGAAAAGTAAATAGAAAAATAAATTAAATAGAAAGAATTATGTTCTTTTATTAGTTCTGTCTCATATCTCCTTTTTTTGAAATATACTCACTTTAAAATCTTCTTATTCTGCATCATTCCCTCACACTTGGTGAAAACTCAACCTCGAGTGTAAAATGTCAAAGAAGAAAGAATAGCAAAGTTGGAACTTGATTCAATAATGCCTGAAGCTTGCGAAACTTGAAATTAACATGAGATAACACGAATGTTTCTCAAATCAAGGATTTTGAATGATATACTGAACAAATTGAGAATAACAAAATCTATAAAAGGAATAATAGACAAACTCCCATCGTTGTTGTTAAGAGCCAAAGAATGCAAAGTAATATCTTCATGTGTGGCCTCTTTCCTCATGGAATTTTAACCCACTAGAGTATCTTTATTATCAACAATGGGCAATGTCATTGTTTGCTAATGAATCAAATATCCATCACTAGAAAACTCAACTAGATCAACAGGAATAACAACCTTATCCATAATATTTTTTACTATCTCAATTATCTCATTTGTGTATATACATTCAATATCACCAGTTAATTCTTGATTATTAGGTTGCAGCACTTCCATAAGATTTCATTCAATCACCAAATCATTCACCAACCCAACCTTTTCTCGCTCTTCATGTTCTATTGATATTTGAAATATACGTTCTTGTGTTGTAACTGAAGATACAAATTTTTCTCTATGCCTTTTCATCTTAATTTCATACATATCAATCCTATGATTTATATCCTAGAGAGCTACTTTAATATTTCTTAAAGCAACTTTACAAGAATGAGAATTACCATGTCCTCCTTGTGATTTCTCTTCTCTTGCAGACTTATTTTTCACTATTTTAGATATCAGAAAATAATATTAAATTTTCATTTGATAACATCTTTCATATAAGTAATATCCCTCGAGAGAATCTCAAACACAAATAGCATCTTTATAAAGTTTATAGATCACAAAAGCTTACAACCTTGAAGAATGCCGATTGATTTTAATTTCCTCCACATACCATATTGATTGAAAGTTTCGGATAAAGCTTACTGCAAATCGTTATAAATTTGTAATTAATCCATCTAAATCACAGCACATAACTAAAAGAACTCCACTTATGTCTTAATATCATCTACCGTTCCTCTAATGCCAAATACACGTCGTCCAATATCAACTTGCAAAAAAGTTGATAAAAAACAAGAATTTGAGTCAATTAACCTCAAAAAGTGAAAGAGCACATAAAACCTCAACTTTAGAAAATCATATGGAAGGGTTGAAACAGATAAGGTAAAATGAACCGATTCAAAACGGTTTGAATCGATCAACAGTGTCAAAAACCCCACAGGCCAAGCACACTGGTAGAGTGAATGGTTATCATGCTCTAACTTTCGATGAACCTCCAACAACGTATCTTCTAGCAAAGAGTTGTCTAGAGGTGATGGTTTCAAAGCTGATGTTGATGTTACTCCTGGTGGTCAGGAAGGATAGGTTCCATCAAAGCGGTTATAAGAGTAACTTCAAGCAGAGACTGTGATGGTTCTCCGTGTCGACGAGCGCTCAAATTTGGTGAAGCAGCCGATTCAGACCCCTCTAAGGCCAAACAAAGGTGCAGTGCAAGACCACCTCTTGGCAGTGACCAAACGACGCGAGAGGGTATGGGGACGATCGAATCAACTCCTATAACCTTCACAACACATGCAATGTAAAAACTTAGCCGCTTAATTAACCTCCCCAATATAAGGGAGGTCTCGGCTTGAAATCTATTGTGGAGTTAAACCAAGCTTTCCATGAGAAATGGTCGTGGAGATCTCTTGGGGAGAAGGAAAAAATGTGGTGGAAGGTTGTACGTGCTAGATGGGGAGATTGGGAGAGGGAGAATAGGAGAATGGGTAAATTTAAGCCTCACAGGCTGAGCCTTTGGAGGAAGATTTGGGATGACAGCCAATACTTCAAGCGCTGTGTGGGTTGGAAAGTTGGAAGGGGTGATGGGGCAAGGTTTTGATATGACGAATGGATGGGGAATTTCAACTTAAAAAACAGATTCAAAAGAATTTTTGACATTGCTGACAAGAAGGATGTTAAGGTAGAGGAGATGTATGAGTTTATGGGGAAGGGTAGGGTGTGGGATGTGAAGGTGAAGCGAAGATTGCAAGACTGGGAAATTGATGAGTACAGTAGTCTGCTTTTATCACTGACAGAAATAAATTTGAACACAGAAAATTATAAAAGAATATGAAAGTTTGATGAGAAGAAAGGTTTCTCGGTGAAATCTTTATACAGTTATCTGACTAAGAAGGATAACAGCCGCAGCACGTCTGCTCCTTATAAGTAAATTTAGAAATCTAAAATTCCTCCTAAAATGGTTTTTTTTGCGTGGGAGGCAGCCAATGAATGTATTTTGACCCTGGATATGCTAAAAAGTAAGGGGAATATGCTGATTAATAGATGCTATTTATGTCATGCTGCTGAGGAATCGTGCAACCATTTAATATTATTTTGTCCAGTGACATACAGCATTTGGACCTCTATTTTGGGCTGTTAGGGTTAAATTGAGTTATGCTTGGGAGTGTGAGTACTGAGTTGTGGACGTGGGTGGGCATTTGTAAAAAGAAACATCATTTGTTCATTATTCCACTTACAATTCTTTTGTTTGTGTGGAAGGAAATGAATGGAAGAGCTTTTGAGGGTATAAAGACTAACTTTACAAAAATTAGAGATAAATGGATTCATACTTTTGGCTCTATTTTATTGGGTCATGACATCAAAAATATTTGGGACTTTGGTATTGTCATAAACCACTTGATTTACATG